AGTTTAGGAAGTTACCACCGAGCCTGCTCTATAATACCCTCAGAATATTCCGTCTTAGTCTTCCTTCAGGCCAGTCTTCCTCGTTATCTTCATCAGCACCACACTTTTAATGATATTAGTCTGTGTTTCAGAATAAAACATTATACAGACGCTATTATCATCGTGGCCGTGTCTCTTTTTTTTCAACTCTGTTTGGCCACACACGTAATTTCTCCTCAGATCCGCATCTTACATTAGCAAGCACGTAATAATGATTAATATATTGTATCTTAGAATAGACTTAGAAATATTGTAGCGGGCTATTATGGGAATCATAACACCTGCTTACATCATTAATTTTTTTGTTTATTAATTAGTTTACGCCTTTTATTATCAGCCAACCAGTGAGAATGAAGTCGTTTCCGGCTAAGATAGTGAAAAGTTTTCGCATGGTGTACGCAAATACAAATATCCTCACGTTATATAAAGCATGTATTTAATAATGAGAAAAAAATAGGGATTCTATTTATCAAAAAATATTATGAATTAACAATGAAAATAAATAAAGGGCCTAGCTTGAAGACGATCTTTTGCTGAAGTTGGGGACGACTTGACTTGGCTTATCTTGACTTGGCAAGTAGCTGCAGAGCTTGCCGTAAAAAGAACTTGAATGGAAGATGCGTTGGGCTAAGTGCAGATGATGTTTAGGGTTCAAATGCACAGTCTTTCCTTCCCCTCGACTAAAGCAGGTTTGGAAAGGAATTCATGTGGCTCTGGTCCAGGCCACCCAATGTCCAGCAACATATGCAACGTCAGTTCAGCGCTGGTTCAATAGATTAGGTCACTAAGATAAATTTTAGTTTATGTGCGCATGCACATAAATGGCAACTGGAAGTAATAAGCTTGAGTGTCCAATTGAAAATGTTCAGGGGCAAAAAATCTTAGAAAGCGAGACAGAAGATTAGAAAACAGATCGAAATTTCTGAATGTATGTCTTTTTCTCTGTTCGTCAAAACAAAACGTGTAAATTGAAACTTATTAACAACGCAGGTCACGTGAAAAGACGAGAACTACTTGAATCCAATTCGCAGTTGCTTATCCTTGTTTGAATCGTCCGTGATTTTATGAAGTGCAATTTGCAACGCTAAGCCCTAAATAGTCTGGTTCCCAAATAGTCCGGTTCCCAGACCTAAATATTTCTGACGACTCTTGGGTGCATGCAGTCTACCAGTAATTATTCAAATGACAATTTCTGCCCAGCTTAATGTTCCAATGCCCAGTTTCTTTTGAACGAAAGAGAATGTAAATCTTTGTTAGGATCAACTCTCTAGTTCTTTCGTGTTCCATCTGAAAGCAGAATAGATAATAAACACGGTTGAGAAATGGGGTGAAAAGTCCCAAGAAAATATGGATGCCATTTCAAAAATGGCTGCATGCACGTAGGCTTACTTCGGAACTTTTACTCTACTTGTTTGGGTGGGTGGGTTCGTTTTGTGTGAGTAATTAAAATGGCTAACCAACAAAATATTGAAAAAAATGGAAACATGAAGGACAAAATTATAATTTAACTTTTGAGAAACCCCAGGTACATTGGCGTGCATTTTATTGAGCCCCAAACATTGCTGATTTTACAATGGGGCTCAAATTGGTAGAGTGCATTCTCTTGCTCTTTTTATCAAAATCAAGAGCCTTCAAGAATGTTTAGGTCTGGGAACCAGACAGCTGGTGCTAAGTGAATTGTTCAATGGCTTAAGTGAGCGCCAAATTGTCTACATTTTATTTTGACTGCACACGCGCTTGCCCGAAACATCAGCCACATTCGAAATTTCCGGTTGAATCGGGTAGAACACATCCTGTCGAAAAGATCGGATGCTTTTTAAATTCGGATGACGTTAGGTTTCGGATGAAATGTACGTGCTGAATCCAAAATTATCGGCCGCTTTTTGCCGGGGAAAGTGCATTTTAATCTTGAAAAATGTTAGGACGGTTACATTTAAATAGCAGCTTGAAAGGATCTTTAATATTTTATTTGAAACAAGTTAGGTCTTTGAAATTTATTTGAATCTTGCCAACTTGTTAGGTCCGTAAGACTTTAGTCTTTTTTTGGGGAAAGGCACTGGACATTTCAAAATGCGCTCTGTATTAAATAACATTAGACTTATAAACACATTCGATTATTTGAAAAATCATTCACCCCCCCCAAAAAATATCCTGATCCATTTTAGCGTCTGTATTTTCGAGAGGGGCGTAAGAATAATGGTCCTGAAGTCAATTCACGAAGAGATCAAAGATGTAACCTGAAATCTGCACCATTGAGAGACGCAATTTCAAAACAGGAAAGGTAGTATTTACCATTATGACCAATCTATTGTTATGTTGCGTTGCAGAGGGATGGATATGAACGGCACATGTAGTCATTCCTTTGACTTTAAGCAGTGGGTGTACTGGAGTCTCCTTCCAGCAGTAAGTAGTATTTACTAGGTATCAAATGAGCTGCGGGTATAGCATGGTAACCCAAAATTCTTTCGGCATTCTCATTGACGCTGCTCTGCCGACTGCAAGTGCGATTAGAATGATTAACTAGCCATGCGTTTTTATGCATGAACCATGCAGTGAACCAGTCATGTGTAAAGTAACATATTTCTTGAAATAGTTGTGGAACTGCACATCAAATTGCAAATGAATCTAAGTGTACGTGAGATATTTTAAAGAAAGAAAAAACATGCCCTTCAAATTAATTAATATCTGTTAAACGCATCAGTCGTATACAGACTATGAAAAGAACGCGAATGCTCAGCGCAAAATCAACAAGTTTAACACCCGTAATTGCTCTTACTGTTTAGTTCCATCATGTTCATGGTTCTTGACAGAAACTGGTGTTTGCGGAAGGGATTCTCCAAAGTTTTTTTTTTCTGGTTAAATTCAAATGCGGTTATTGTGAGAAATTTTACTCCAAAATCTTCAACGTAACATCGTGGGAAGATAAACACGCTTGAGTGTGTAATGAATAATGACTAACTTTTTGACGGGTACAATTCTCTTGGGTTGTGCATGGAATGCATCCAATCCCATGACGTAATTTGAATGATGGAGTTCATAATGAGCCATAAGTGTGATGGGTCCAAGCTTGAATGTGTGCTGCATGCGTTTTGTAGAGTGTCTGCAATCAATCTGCTTCAATACAGAGGTTCAAAATGTAACTTTGAGTCTCAGATAACCTGTTGGTTCCATATTTCAAAGGGGACTTTACTGCCTTTTTGTTTCTTATGCTGACGAAATTTCCATATTCATGAACAACCCTGTGATGTAATGACGTCTCTTCAGATTCAATACCAGTCCTCACTTTACGTTGTTCTAAAAAAAACTCAATTGCATAAAAGTATTTATATTTACTCGATTGACACTATGAACATCTAAAAAAAGAAGTACAGTGCAATAACAATGGACGCTCATCGTTAATGCACCTTGTTTCTTTTGTTAGATGTTCGTAGTGTGAACGCTTCCTTTAATTAAATGTATACCCAAAGTCATGTATTTACACTATCGTATTGGCTTGGTGTAAAGTTTGTTGAGTTATAAAGAAATAATTCGGTTTTTTATAAATTAATATTTGAACATTTGCTGGCAACTGTCAAAACCTTTCATGTCAACTCCACAGAATTACAATAAGCATTTGCAGGTTTAAAAATAGAAGGGGAAGCCCTAGGTCCTGCCCCAAGCGTATCTTATGCTACTCAGTGGTGGAATTCCAATTTTTTTGTTTCTAGTGCGTGATCATCACTATGTTCTGCTTCTTGGAGCGACGAGTAAATTTGTGGCCGACTTATTGCCATGGTCGGCCCGGTGTTGCATTGTAAGTACACACGCACACACACAGAATAATTACCAGAAGTGGCTGACACAAACTTCGGGCACCGTATGGCTATTTCAGTAAGAGGCCAGGCTCTTCGCTAGCCTCCTTTACACACGCTTATATGGCAGCAGCAATCCCTCTTTTTCTAAACATAAACAAACTAATTACTCGCGTCCGCCCCCCATGAGACCCGAGCTGGACCAATAGAGGGCGCAATTGTCTTTTTCAAAGGAAGCTCGTTGGGAACCATTATTAATCTGCACTATTAAAATGCTCACGTCAAAGTCGCGTCGTTCTAAACCAACATCACTATGTTCAACCGATGAGGGGACACTTCCTCTGAATGTAGACTACAGACAACAGATGCTATTTAAAACTGCAGGAGTACTTCATGGTGCGCCGGGCGCCCTCAGGGGTCAACTTTCAGACTCTATTGCAAAATTGACTTGCAACCAACTCTGCGGCTCATAGCGTAAACCTGGGGGTGAGATATTATAAAACAAATATTGACTGCTTTATCTCTTGGTATAGTAAAACTATTCTCCCTTGGTGATCCATGAAACATACTACTTCCTCCTCCACTTCGCCTCGAAGAATGCTCCATGGATCACTTTGGGAAGTTAGTTTTACTATACCAAGAGATAAAGCAGTCAATATTTGTTTAATATGTGTGTGATGTAGAAGCATTGTTCAAGCTAAACGCACAGTTGAAGCCCAAATCCAAAGTGTGCAAAACAGATCAGTGACCATTTTAGTTCCTGTTTGTGACCTGTATAAAGCCTGAAAGTTGACCCCGATGTTATGCTTGTTACCTTTGGATAAGAAAAATGACGTGCATTATTCAATTACTCCTTTAAAAAAATCTTCTCGGGGCCTTGTTAAATATTTGCTTGAAAATTAATTGATAGAAACTGAGAAATGAATAATGGAGAAATATCCAGCCGAAATTTGACCTCTCGCTTCTGAAAATCTAAAATACATGAAGACAAGTGCAATTCGGTAGTCTCCTACTCAGACAAAATATATTTTATTTGGTAAAAGCTGATATAAAACACATCAAAATATTCTAACCTTTGTTGACAAGAACTGCATCAGGTCAGCTCTTCGGAATCTAGAACCCATCGACTGGAGGTAGGTAAATCTTTACAACGTTGCACAACCTCGTTTTTACGTAAACACACGAAGTGAAAACAGATGTGAGTGAACAAGGAGACCTAGGAACGAAAGTACCGAAGGTAAAAGGTCGCGAAGGAATTTTTTTCCTCATACTCAAGTGAGTTTTTCCAAAATATTGCTGGAGAATTCACTGAGGCAAAATTCTTACATGATTGTTTGTTGCGTTGTTTTCCGGAATCTTAGGCCTAGTGCGCGACGGTTTTGGAAGCTGCTGCGTGATGTTTACTTTCAGGCTCTTGTAATGAAGGGCTGCCAGTGTGCAGCACAAGCTACGGCATTTATGCTAAGTTGATACAAGTTTCAGCTTCCAGTAATTCTACTTTACTATGAAGCCCCTTCAGAGCCATGTGAAGTTATTTTCTTACTTTGACAAGTCACTATCTGGCTATGGCAACTTACTGAAAACACCTTGCGAAATATGTATCACATAGTAAACGTGGCACCGGTAGAACTTCATGCTTTTGCCGAAGGCTTCACTTGATCAAACTTGATACAGCAGAAGGGCTTTTATGGGATAATGAGAGAGATTTTCACATTTCCACCCAACTTCGGATCCTCCACAGCCCCGTCAACCTGGTGGATAGCTACACGGATCGCTGGTCATTTGCCTTCGCCTTTGGCAGCATGGCAACTTTTTTATATAGAGTTCGTGAACTAGCGGCATCCTTTGACACTGACCATGTTGATGTAATGTTGCAAGGTTGGAGCATTTAATGAAGCTTTGTAATGATTAAATTTCTAGGTTTCACCCCATGATTTCAACAATAAAAATACAAAATAAAGAAATTGTCTCTTATTTATAAATGGATCATTTTCCTACACCCTACCTTACTCTCAGTCTGTAACTTTTTTTCAGTACTATAAATGTTTAAGGTTATAAAGTATAATTTTTAACTTGATATTGACATGGAGGAATTTAGACACACAATGTTTAGTTTCTAAACTTATTCACGGAGTAATGGAAAGTTCTCACAGCTTGGAACAATCTTTAGAGAATATATCTCAATATTGTCCTCATCACCATCATAACCATCATCATAAACCTCCCCAGTCTTTATTTTCCTGAGGATAAAAATTACTCCATTGATTTACTCCATAGTCCCTACGATTGAACCTAAAGACGAGACGAATTCGAGTGAAATTTAATCGATCCAATCGATCACGATTTCACTCGAATCACTGGGGTCCTTTCATAAACGAAGCATATTTCAATCTCAATTCAAAATGATTTCGACTGTAAACCGTTTAGTCGACCATAGTCCTTAGTTTCACTTTCAGGGGGATAGGTGGGCTGTGAATAAGACAAGACTCCACCCAATATT